ACTTGGAAACAGCCCAAATGCCCATCAACTGGAGACTAGATAAAGAAAATGTAGTTTTTTAATAAAATGGAGTACTACTCAGCCATAAAAAACGAGAAATTAGAGACATTTATAGCTAAGTGGATGCACATTGAGGCAATACTTCTAAGTGAAATAAATAGGACACACATGTGTGAAAGCATTAAAAAGGAATAAAAATATTTTTCTTGAAAAACAACCTTTATAACTCTAATATTCTTCTGTAAGCACACCACCATATTTTTTTAATAGAAAAGGAAGGACAGGCCAAGAAAAAAGTGAAAATAGAAGGAAAAAATGCAAACAGAGCTTTGGTACACAGGGACAGCAGGGGGCTTGAGGGGGGGAATGGACTAAAATAAAATTTATTGAAAAAAAAACATAAATAAGAGAAAAAAATAGAGCCATAAACACAACCATAAGAAATATTTACAGCTGTCTGCTGAGGATAATATATACTATAATGAGATTTACGATATACTAAGGTACAAATTAAATATTTTAAAACTTAAGAAAAAACTGAAATAACTGATGATTTTTATTACCGGTTTCATTTCCATTGCTGGTTTTATAAAATATGGTATAATTTCTGATAAATCCATTCTGAACATCAACAGGAAGCTGGTCCCACTCTAAGACAGCTTCATTTTTGCCCACTTTTTTTGTCCGAACGGTAGGTCCTTTGGAAGGTGCTGTAACAGAACAAATGTATTTTCTAAATGAAAAGCAGTAGAATTTAGAAAATTACTTAGACCAAAATTACTTGAACATGAAATGTATCCTTATTTCAGACATAAAATGTGTTTACTGCTAAACCATATTCTTCAAAGAAAAGGCACTTGAACTTACCAGCCTGTTTAAGGTATGCCTTTGTAGATTCAGGGCTTCCTGGTCCGTCACCATACACTGGAGTGACTGTTATCAAGTAACATTTACTTTCCACTAGTTTCCCTAAAGTACAAACAAGAGAGTAAGTATTTTTTTTTCCTATAAAAAAATTCAAATTAATTTCATTATTTGTATTCGTAGTACAATATCATGGCAATTAGTTTTCTTTTAAAACTGCACTTTTCTGAGTTAGCACTGCCTCTTGTGTACTGGACTCAAGCTTAACAGAGTGAAACTGTTTATAAAAGCAATTTAATATAGTGGGTAAAAATATTTATATTGTTAATCCAAGAGGTGATTGTGTCTATATTCAGGATTTATATATAAAACAAGATCTCAAATTATTCTGGTCTTGCTTAGAATTTGACAACTCTTAGATACCTAATTCTCCTCAAGCTCCCTAATGAGCACAACACCCCTAGTAAGACGTAGGGAAATGCACTAATGGACCTGGCTTGTCAGAAGAATTGGAAAAAAAGAATTAGTGCTATTATCCCTACAGTTAAAAAAATTACCTTAAATGCAGTACTTCTTTTATTTATAATCCCTTCAAATTATCAAGCCATCTATTCTTTTTTTTCCCATTAAGTTTACTGGTACATTTTAGGCATACAATACAGTTACATTCATCATTGGGAACTTGTACCCTTACATGACGTATCTTGGTTCTTATTTTTCCCCATTCCCCTGGCCTCCCTTCATCCCCTCCAACCCTCTCTATTTACAGAGACTTTGTTTCCCATTTTTTCCTTTTCTCGTAATTTTTCCTTTCCCTTCTTTCCTTTCCCCTACTCCACCCACTTCCCCCACCCCTTTCTTCAGACTTTTTCTTCCTATTTCACATTATCAATTATACATTTTGATCCTTATTTACACTTTGTTTCTCACACCAGAGAAATGATTCGGTATTTATACATGTGTCCTATTTATTTCACTTAAGAGTAAAGCCATCTATTCTTTTAGCATGCAAACAGTAACATTTTTCTTTCTTGTATAAAGCATACTCTCTGTCCATCTCAGAAAAGGGGCTTCTTACTACTTTAGTACTTTAACAGAACTATTTCCTTAACTATATGTGCCTTCATCTTCTAGAAGAGTAATTTTACCACTTCTAAATACCATATTAAGAAATGAACGATTTTCAACTGTTGCTGCAACACCTGTTTTCAGAAGTTCTGAGCACAGAGGCCTTAATGTCTGGTCTCATTCACACTGTCTAGTTACTGCCAATTTGGCTCCTCTCTGGCTCCACCATGGTTTTATTCAATAAGGTTGAGAAACTAGACAACCAAAGCACATTAAAACTGTGTATTAAATAGTATCTTAGTAAAAGCCAAATAGTCTACTTTATGAATAAAGTTCAAAACTTTTATGACAGGTATTTCTTTGATTCAGACTCTTCTCTAATCACACTACAGCTGAGTTCTAATAATTACCCTTTATTAAAAAGAAAAGCCACTTACACACTCAATGTTTTTGCTCTTCCTTTAAAGCTTTTTTTTTTCTTTTGGTACCGGGGATCAAACTTGGGACCTTGCGCTTGCAAGGCGGGCAGCAGAACCACTGAGCTAAATCCCTGGCTCCTTTAAAGCTTTTATATTACTTTACAGTCACATAAGTAGTTGACCATACAGAATTATCCATTTTCCACAATATCACTACTTTCTATCTTTTGTTAGTTCTTCTAATTGAAAGACATGAGGAAACCTGTGCTCTGGTTCAGCTTCCCCTGCTCAATGGCTATAAACAGTTAAACAAGTCATCGAGATGCTCCAGGGAACTATTTTCCTGTCTGAAGGATGAGGAAGTTATATGAGGTACATGATAACCAATCAGTACCAAAGGTGAATTCTTCTTATATTCTTTACTGTTCAATGTTTCTTTCTACTGTTCTTATGTTTCTTTACTGACAATGCAGTTCAGAAAGGGTAGACTGACGTGCTAAGAGTCACATATCTAGAATTGGTGGGGTTACAATAATTGGGCCTTTTGACCACAATGCTTATAAACCAGAAAAGAATTTGCAAAAGAAAAATCTGCCCAAATGGGTTAGAAGAAGAATATTAACTTAAGCACATCTGGTCAGGTTTACCTCTTAAATAGGTGCGACGGATGGTACTGCTTTCCTGCTGCCAGTCTGGGATACAGGGTGATGTATCTGACAACACACACCACTCAACAATGTATTTCCTTACAGCTTTACTTGGAGGAGTCCATTCTACCCAAAGCATGTTATCTTTGGGATATGCTTTAAGGTCTGTTACAGGGTGAGTAGCTTTAAAACAAGATGCCAACATAGTAAAATAACACAAATTTGAAATTTCAGTATTTTATAGTCATTTCCAAAACTCATGATTTATCAAGTTTTGTAGCATGTAACATGCTTTTCCATGAACAGAAATACTTTATTTTTTTGGTACTGGGGATTGAACATCCTCAGTTCCTCTCCCCAGCCCCAGCTTTTTAAAATTTTATTTTGAGATAGAGTCTCACTAAGTGGCTAAGTTGCTCAGGCTGGTTTTAAATTTGCCATCCTCCTGTTTCAGCCTCCCAGAGTGCTGGGATTATAGGCATGTGCCACCACATGTGGTATGTGGTTTATAAAAGTACTTTATAACTTACATCTGTGGAGTCAATTTATTTTTAAAGTTAGATCCTTGCCTTCCCCAAATTCTTCAAATGTTTTTATTTTGCAACTGCTATTTTGTCCTCTTCGAAAGCTATAAACAATATATTTAAGTCATAGCGTAGAAAGTTCTCAAAACTTTGAAATATTTCAAAAAACAGGTAAGTAATCAGAAGATGCTTAAATGAATTAAGTAGCTTACTGCAAAGTTTAAGGGAGCCACACAGGGATAAAAGTACTTCACACATTTGATAAAAGTTGCCTGCTGATTTCTAAAAATATGATCATCCCTGATAGTGAGGAGATAATCTTAAGAGTATTTGTTTTTCTAATGGGATTCCTGTCCATACCTAAACATCTTTATTCATCCACGAATCAGGATCCATCTCAAAGACACATACCTTGAAAGTCAAAGGCGGGGATAGTTAAAATAGATGCATCTGATTTGCTGACCAGATTTCTTGCTGCTAGTGTAGCTATATAGCGATCATTTGTGAGATTTACTGTCAAGTCTGTGTCATTAACTGTGTAATTTTGTGAACGTGATTTCCATCTTGTTAGAGTCACTTCATAATCCAAGATTTTCCCATTAGCTTCAAAAGGAGGCAGTGGCTGTAATAAAAGTTTATTTCAAAAAATTGTATTATGAATCTTGAATTAAGTTCACAAATTCTGCCATTATAGTAACCCTTTAAACATTTAAATGGAAGGGACTGGCACACTTACTTTGCACTCAGTACTAAAGTAATGCGGTATTCACTGAAGGAAGAGTAAAAGTATGACCTCAACTGAAGGAAGGCAAGGAGCACCACTGTTATCTTTTCATTCTGCACAGAATTCTGCACTGAGGCTATGTTCGCCTGTACTGTTTGTTTATGCTTGAGTATTTTTCTCCCTACTTTTCTTTGTATGATCAACTCATGTACAAGTATCAATTTATTAGCACACATTTTGATTACCCCAAACCTTTATCAATTATTTTCTATGAAATACCTTGGTAAATTCAATGAAGTACAGAACAGAGCTCTTCTTTGTACAGAATTTATGTTCTCACAGAAATGTGCTGAAGTCCTATGAGGGGTTATCTGCAGATTATGAACCTGACCTCTTTCTAGTCTAAAGCTTTGTGTTTCTATTTATTAAATATAGTTATCAAGTGCTTTCTTGATTTAAGATGAATAAAAATTGAAGTGCTAAAAAAACCTGTACTGATAATACCATTAAAATGTATTTATATAAAAGAATATAAATGTGATTTTTTATTTACCTTCCATATGAGCTGTACAGATCTAGAGCCTTGAGTATGGGATGTTATCTTATACCAGAAACTTGGTGCTTTGGATGGTCCTAAAGAAAACACAAACTTTTTAAAAAAAGTAATCTAAACAATACAATAAATCCTATAAATTATTCTTTTTTTCTTTTTTTGGTACTGGGGATCAAACTTAGGACCCTGGGCCGAGGCAGGCACTGTGCCACTGAGCTAAATCTCCGGCTCCTCTTTTTTTCTTAACATTCCTGCCCTTCAATTTATATGGTTTCTTTAATTCTTTATGGCAGCATTTTCCCATCCCAAGAAAATATGCCTGGGTCTTCTTTTAGTCAGGATCATAGCTTGATCATGTAAGTAAACAAGACAGTTTTATTTTATTAGTATTTGTTTTGGAGATAGGGTCTCCCTTGTGTACTTCAGGCTGGCTTTGAATTCACTATTTAGCACAGGCTGGCCTCAAACTCGATCCTCTTGCCTCAGCCTTCTGAGTGCTGGGATTACAGACATGTGCCACCATGCCCAGCCAGTTTTATTTTATTTTTTTCAGACAGGGTCTTACTATGTTGCCTAGCCTGGCCCCAAACTCCTGAGCTCAAGCAATCCTCCCACCTCAGCCTCACATATGGCCTGTATTATAATGCAACTGTAACTTCAAAATTATAAACATACAAATGTATTCTAAGTAATAACTAAAAAGGCAGCACTTAATTCTTTTTTTTTTTTTTTTTTGGTACTGGGGATCAAACTCAGGTCCTTGAGCTTGCGCAGTACGCAGCGAAACCACTGAGCTAAATCCCTGGCCCCAACTTAATTCTTAATAATCTTGCGTTCTTCATTCTGTTTAGATGCAGCACTGTATTCATGTACATAACTATTTTATTAGTCTCTGTGCTGGCAGCCTCTTTCCCAGCCTTCCTGATCTGCTTGACCTGTTCTGTTTTGTCATTTATAATTGCCTCTTCATGACTAACACATTACTGCTTAGACTTTATTCAAATCCTCTCTTATTCTACTGACTACAATATCTTGCAATTATATTTATAATAATTTTGATAAATCAGTTGACACTATTGATTTTTTTTTAGAGACAAGACAGGGAAAGTGGTATGGCTCAGTGGTTGAAGCCCTGGGTTTGACCCTTAGCATCACAAATAAAATAAATAAAATTTTAAAAGACAGGAACGCTTTTTAATGTAAAGTGTTTACCAATGATAAAATAAAAATGAAATAAAAATCAGCTGATACTAATTATTGCTAAATATCAACTTGAAAAATCATACATAAATACATGCCTAAAGCCCTTATGTGTGCGATATACATAATGTAAAAAATTAAATAAATATAGCCATGTCATATGTCTATTACTTTATGTTGGGATAATTCAAAGTGATGTAATGTAAATGTCAAATACCAGTACAGTAGTTGCCCTTTATCTTTGGAGGGAAGTGTTCTAAGACCCCCATGGATGCCTGGGACTCTGGAGAGTATTGAATCCTACACATACTATGTTTTTTCTATACATTCTCATAATAAAGTTTTAATTTAGAAGTATGCACATTAAGAGATAAACAAGAATAATAAAACAATTGTATCACTATACCATAATAAAAATTTATTTTAAAACTTTTCAATTATTTCTGGAACTTTCCATTTCATAGTTTTGGACCACGTGCAACAAATCACAAAGCAAAACTGCAGATAAAGAGGGACCACTTGGTTACACTTTAAAAATTCCTGTACTGTCAAGTAATTTTTCAAAACTTTTCTAAGTATAATTGCAAACACAGAATTGAAGAGAATATGACAGGATCTGAATAAAATCTAAGCAGTGATGTTCTGGCAATGATAAGCAAAAATAGAAGAAAGGTAGATCAGGAAGGATGCTAGTAAAGGAGATTCAAATAAATGTATACATGAGTACAGTGCAGCACTCAAATGAAATAAAGAACATGAAATTATGAAGACAATTTCATGGGCCAGATATATTTCCTTAACAAAAAGAGAACGTACAGGTTTCATTTTCTAACTTTAAGACATACTTTGTCTAGTAGTTCATAACATTTTTGGCTTTGAAGATCTCTTTGCTTTGACTAAGAGTATATTCCCTTACACCTGAAAAATGGAAATGCTAATCATAATAATTTGCCTATATTAGAGTGTTTCAAGAACTTTGCTACATGGGCCCAGGTATCTCTAAAGGCCTTAAGAAATTCAGTTTAAGAATTCTTGGTCAAGCCAAAGTAACCTAACTAAAGATACCCAAATCAGAACTAGCAAGACTGCTTGCATTCCCGGCATGCATGCATGCGTGCATGCATACATGCATTCATTCATTCATTCGTCTCTCTCTATGCATGTGCATGCATGTGTTATTAGGGATTGAACCTGGACCTTCTCACTGCAGGTCTTCCGTTTTTAAAACAATAACAAAGATAGCTTCTAATCTAATTAAAATGTTATAAGACATCAACATAAAGTTATCACCAGTTTTTTTACAGGACAATATTCAGAAATTTCTGGGTTTCTGTATGAGGTAGTATAAGCTTTACTCTTGAGTCAGTCATCCAATAGCACATTGGTAACCTTCTATTAGTTCTTTCCAGCTTCTTTCCAGCTGTTCATGTTGCATGCTTATTTCTGTTTAGTTCACTTGGAGATATTTTCTCATCTTAGCAAGATCTCTCTACTTTTTCTTTTTAATTTTTGTTTGGTCTACATTGTGAGGAACTTGTATATGTACATAACACATCTCAATTCTCCCCCTCAACCCATCTTTTAAATTTTTTTCTGCCAGCATCAGATTCATTTACTTGTTTTACAAGTTCCTATCAAGTTAATTATCATAAATACAAATTAACAGCCAGACTAACAGGCCAAAAAGACATAAAACGCATATGACAATTATACTAAATCAAGGTACACTTTTAGATATATTGTCATTCTGGATTACAATAACTTCTTTCTCTCTTTTTTTACTGTTGTCTTTTATTTTTTACTTTATTTATATGCTGGGCTTCTCATATATTTCTTGGTATTTACAAGAGAGAGGAAAATTCTTAGAGGAGAAGGATACTTTTCTTCCTTTGGCATTCTCAATTCAAATAATGACCTAAACCTCTAGCAGAACTGAAGTGAAGGGACACAGGTGGCAGGTGAGGCTTTTAAGCTGTAGCTACTGCCATTGAGAATTAAAAGGTAGGACCATGAATAGAAAAAGGTTCAAAAATAAATATTTGCAGGTCACAAGAAGTACATAACACATTAATAATGTTATGAAAGTAGAAGGGAGACTATGAGACAAAATTAGAGGGATCGGGGAAAAGAGGGATGGATATGATCAAAATATGTATATCTAAAAATGCCACAATAAACCTGTTTATAAAATTAATATAAACTAATAATTATAGAAAAAAATGAAATTTGAAAACAAAAAGATATTTTAGTAATGTTCACTGCTTTGTGGAGGGAATCGTACTTTAGACTATCTACCATTTTGTGTCTTCTGTAGTCTTTACTATATATGTTATATTATCTATGGGGGAAAAAGAAAATCAACCAACTAACCCAAATCCAAGATCACTCCTTTATCAGTGACTTATCAAGTACTGCTAGAAAAAAAGTGAATAAAACTTATAACACAAATATTTTTTTTTTGGTACTGGGGATCAAACTCAGGTCCTTGTGCTTGCGCAGCAGGCGGCAAAACCACTGAGCTAAATCCCCGGCCCAACACAAATATCTTTTTGAGAGTGAGGACTTAAGGTATATTTTGTTAACTAGTATGACTTTTAATTATTCAAGTTATGAGTCCCTGGACCACTCTCCTTGAATAAAATGTTCTAGAGTTATCAAAAGTTAATTCCATTTTGTGATCCCAACCAAGATATCCCTCCATGATAATTTAATTAGAAAGCAAATTTATTTATACCATCAATAATGCATTTGATTATCAAAGCAACAATGAGGTCTATACATTAAAACCAGATAGGGCCAGGGATTTAGCTCAGTGGTTCTACTGCCTGCCTGCTCCGCAAGTGCAAGGACCTGAGTTCAATCCCCAGTACCAAAAGAAAAAACAAAAAAACCACCCAAACCATTACAAACTGTGCTGCTATGAACATGGGTGCACATATATCACTGTGGTATGATTCTTTTAACTCTTTTGGGAAGATACCCAGCAGGGGAATAGCTGGGTCAAATGGGACCTCTAGTCCTAGTTCTTTGAGGTATCTCCATGGTAGGGGTGATGGGAAGGGAAGGGGAAAGGAAAGAAAGGAAAGGAAAAATTATGAGAAAAGAAAAAAAAAATGGAAATGAAGTCTATGTAAATAGGGAAGGGTGGAGGGGGTGAAGGGCGCACAGGTAATGGGGAATAAGAACCAAGATACACCACGTACAGGTACAAGCACCCAATGACAAATGTAAACATACTGTATACCTAAAATGTACCAATAAAAGAACTTAAGGGTAAGAAAAAAAAAAACCAGACACATTCACAGCCAGAGCTCCACTAGCTTTCTATCTCTGTAGACTTATTTACTTACTCGCTTCATATGTGATCCCACTTGCGTCTTCACTCCAGTCACTCCAGAAGCCCTTTCCATCCTCCTTCATACAGCGAATCCTAAACACATATTCTGTAAAAGGTTTAAGGTCCTGGACAGTGAATGAAGTTCGGGTTGTTGCTGTATCTTCAGAAGGAATCTGATAATAAAGCAAATGTGCAAGAACAATGAAAAAATTCCAGTTAAAATAAGAATTTCTAAATTGTATAATTTTAGAAACCAATTTAATGAAACAAGACTAATAAAGTAATCTCTAGAGAGATAAATTCAAGTCAAAGAGCAGTCAAAATCAGTAAAGTCACTAGGTTTGCATTAATTCAAGGAAGGCTTAGTCAAATGACTATGGGCAAGAGTGGGGGGGACTCCTCAGTGCAGTTAGTGCTCTGGGGCCTGAAGCTCTTACCATCCTGAGCTCCAAGAGGAAGAGACAAGATGTCAGAACTTTAAAGAAGAGAGTCAGATAGAGAGGGCTGCCATAATAGCCAGAAACACAGGATAGCTTTTACTTTTCTTGATGGGGCTGTCCACATCTACATTCTGTCCTCCACACTACTCTTTCTAATGTCACACTGACTCATATGGATTTCATTTGTGGGTTCCATTACATCTAACTTCCCATGAGTTAATGGGAGGAGGGGCCCCAGAAGGAGAAAGGAGTGATGGACGAAAAGTAAGATCAGCATGTTTATTTCCCTGCTTCCTTTCTGGAGCATGCTCTCTCATCCTGAGTTTCTCTAGTTTCATATAAATTTAAGACCTTCAGAAAATGACTGTGAAGGATCAATAAGGACTTTTTGAATAAACAGTAACTTTTAATTTACCTGGCTCCAAGCTGAAGCATCTTTGGTCTTATAATGAATGTCATATTTCAGTCTTATAACATTCATAATCCTTGGATTGATCCATGTTAATTTTAAGATACTGGATAGCTCCTCTGAGTTACTCACTGATAAATTATGAGGTGGATTGGGCTTCACTGAAGAATGAAATAAATACTAATGTTGATCATCTTTTACAACTTTATTTTATTTTTTCCCATTAAGTTTAATGGTACATTTTAGATATACAATATAGTTACATTCATCATTGGGATCTTGTACCTTTACATGACGTACCTTGGTTCTTATTTCTTCCTCATTCCCCTGCCCTCCCTTCACCCCCTCCACCCTTCTTTTACAACTTTATAAACAAAGTCAAATATATAGTCTTTATTTTTATTTTACAATACTCTATTCATTTATTCTTACCAAATTAACTGATTTCTTTGGAAATGAAATGAAAAGGTTTCTAAAGAAACTTGCTTTTCCTTGTCATTTTAGTATATTCGTTATATTTTTTTTCTGGTTCAGATAGTAAAAGACAAAGATAAATCAAATTTTTAAAAAGAATAAAAATGGAACAAGCATACTATAACTGCAGTGGTATAAAATGTCTAAGAATTGGACATATACCAGAATGTAACATTCAAAGTGAAAATAGCTGAAAGTATCGTTATAGCTATTTTTCTTTTTCCAAGTTTTATTTAATACTGTTGATTAAATGACTGCAAAAATTACTAAGCTAATTAAATAAATTTTTTCTATATTAATTAAAATCTGAAAAACAATTTATAAACCACTGTAATAAACTCTTAAATTCAGGAGTACAGATACCTTTATCTATAGGATCAAAGTTGATATGATTGGAGGTAACCTTCCCAAGGGCATTCTGCGCTTCTACCCAGACTTCCACATTGACAAAATACACGGGAGAAAAGGCAACAGTGCATGAGGTGGGGGTGTCAGGTTTTGCTTTACAATCAGGAAACTTCTCTGTTGCCCTAAATACAAAAAAGGAAGAAGTCATTAAAACTAGATTTGAAAAAGTTACTTGAAAAGAATTTGATGAGACTCAGGCTGCTGCAGCAAAGTTTGCAATAAATTAATCACTAAAAATAAACATTTCTTAAAATTAATCTTTCTTGGGCCAGGGACTTAGTTCAGTGGTTCCGCCACTTTTCTCGAAAGCGCAAGGACCTGAGTTCGATCCCCAGTACCAAAATAAAAATAAAAATTTCTTTAAAATTGAGTTTGCGCTATATCTTAAAATTATTTTCAAAATTTTAATTTAAAAATACTGTACTTTAGAATTTCATGCTCTACCCCGCTCATCTATTTCCTTGTCATCCTACTACAGTAGTCCCCACCTTATTCAGAGAAATGTTCCAAGATTCCCAGTGAATGCCTGATACCTCAGTTAGTATCAAACTCTCTATGGTTTTTCCTATACATACGTATCTATGATAAAATTTAATGTATAAGTTAGGTACAGTATGAGATTAACAATAATAAAAACAACAATCCTAACAATATGCTGTAATAAAAAGTTATGCGAATGTGGTCTCTCTCAAAATATCTTCTTGTACTGTACTCACCTTTTTCCTTGTGAGGATGTGCAATGATACAATGTCTATGTAAGGAGATGAAGTGAGGTGAATGACACAGGCACAGTGAGACATCGTTCTGATGCTATGAACCTTCCAAAGATTAAATCAGAAGGAGGAGCATCTGTTTCATCATAGATCATCAAGCCATGAGAATGTCTGGAGCAGATGAGACTCATGGGTGGGGATCTTTGATTGTTGACTTTTTTCTTGGAAGAACATTGTAATAAGAAGTTGTTGTCTCTGTTTTGCTCACCAAAGTGTTGCTAAAGAGGTTGTTAATTCTTTGGTGATCACAGAGGTGAACATAAAGGAATATATTCCATCTGAGGTGTATGTTCATAAATTTATTAATGTCTGTGCAATTCAAAACACTAGAAAATTTCTACAAAGTCTACATTGCTGGTTCTGTTTCAGTCTCTTCTTCTTTACCTTCTTTCTCTATATATGACTCAACAAGTTCTTCCAATTACTCATTTGTTAATATTTCTCAACACCCTTCAGTATGTTGTTCTACTTCATCAAGCATGTTGGCAAATCTCTCACATTATCCTGCAGTATGAATGATTTTCCAACTTCCCTGGGAAACCTTTAACAGCACTCATAGCTTTACTCCATAAATTCTTCCAGCAGGTATTTACAGTTTCTAGTTTTAATTCTCCCACTGCAGTTTTGATGAACATTATTGCATTACCAATGGTGAATAATTTCCAACAGTGCTTTACGTGCAATTTAAAGTCTGGATCAATTGCTAATTAGATGTAATCAAATACCAGGTGGGCATATGTGGGACTTGACAAACCAAATGATTCTCTGGTCTAGGGTTAAACAATAAAATTATATTTGGAGGCAAAAATACCAACTTCTCAGTTTCATTTTCTTTTTTTTTTTCGTACTGGAGATTGAACTCAGGACCTTGTGCTTGTGAGGCAGGTGCGGTGCCACTGAGCTAAATTCCTGGCTGTTTCATTTTCATAGCAAACATTCAAAAAGGGCAGATGTACTGTTTATTATTAATAGGACTTTAAATTCCAACCCTTCCTCTTCCAAGGACCTTTTTTTTTTTTTTTTTACTTCTGGGACAAAGAATTGCGGGAAGCACTCCACAAACAATATGACTGTCACCCACATTTTCTGATTATGCTGCCAGAGGGCAGGTAATTTTTGTTTTTGATGAGAACATAGAGGTTTATCACTCATATACTACACTAGGCTTTATGATATGCCCTGAAGAGTGGTCACACAGTACAGAGTTAAAGTCCTGTCCTTCTATGTTTAATGCCCTGGTGCCTACTTTGTACCTTAATGAATGTAGGTTCTAATGGGCATCTTCTTCCAGAAGGTAACCCTTCTCCTTGGTCAACTTCAACTTTGCTGGAAATGTGGCAGCAGCTTCCTCATAGGCAGATGCAGTCACATCTAATCCTGAATCTGCACAAGCATCCCTTACTTGTAGTAAATGACTTGGTGTCACTTGCCGAAGTTTTCTTATGGAGCAACATGTTGCCATCAAACAGAATATGCTTTTTGTTCATGTCATCCATTCACAAATTTAATGCCTTTTCCATATTAACTAAGCTTTCATTATGCATTGTGGCTGTAACTTTTGTGGTTTGAGGTGTGAAAGCAAAACTAGCACAAATTTAACAATTTTACAGATAAAAAATTTGTTCTTTACTATGGATTGTAGCAGCCCCAAGCATATTTTTTCTTTCCTTCTTAGAGAACTTTTATCTTTTCATTTAAAGGAAACACAACACAACTTCTTTTTGGCATATCTACATTGCCAGCATCACTACTCTCATGCTGTGGGGGCATTATTAAGTACAATAAATGTCACTTAACACAAACACTATGATATCACCAAAGTCAATCTGATAACTACAACAGCAACCAAGTGAGTGTCAGGCAGGCAGCACATAGAGCACAGATATGCCAGACAGAGGGGTGAGTCAAACGCTGGGCAGAATGGAGGGGAGCAGTCTGAGACTGCATTAAGCTACTCAGAACTGTATTTAATTTAAAACTTAGAAATTGTTTATTTCCGGAATTCTCCATTTGATAACTGAACCCATGGATAAGGGGAAACTACTATACTGTTTTTCTCTTTTCCTGAAATAGACTTCTTAATGTCCCAGCAATGTACTTTAAAACCCTTCGTGTGTAAGGTTAGCTTCCTGACAAGGAGCGTAGGGTTGAAGCTTAACCTTATGTATGAATGCAATATGCTTTCGCTGAGCACAATATGCTAGAAGATGAGAGTGGATCAAGACAGAAAGTTTCCTCAAACTCCTAGCTGAACTCAGGCAACTTCTCTCAAAAGTAAATATGACTTATATAAAATATTTTTGAGAAAAAATATCACACCCAAACTGAATAACGTTTAAAAGTCATGTTAAAAACTGAATTCCAGCAGAGCAAAAAAAGAGAGACTCAGGCCTAAGTTAGAATTTAAGATTTATATGAAATCAAACTGGACCTGCTGGTGCACGCCTGTAATCCCAGCACTGGGGAGGCTGAGGTAGGAGGATTACTGCAAGTTTGAGGCTAGCCAAGGCTATATAGTGAGTTCAAGGCCAGTTTGAACTACATAGTGAGACCCTGTCTCAAACAAAACAAAACAAAACAAACAAAACAGAGAGAGACTTACAAGAAATATAAATCTGCAATGTATAGAGTTTCTCGGATCTCAATTCAAACTGGGGAAATTAATACAGTACTAACTAAAAATCTGGTTTTAAAGTATTTAAATTATTTAGCTTTAACAATGATATGGGTTATGATTTTTTAAGGCCCTTATCTTTTAGAGATAGGTACTGAAATATTTATGAATGGAGTATGTATGAGATTTTCTTCAAGATAACATGGGGTGAAGTACATACAAAGAAGATTGGTCATGAGCTGATTGTTGAAGGTGAATGATAAGGTTTTATTATAGAACTTTTTCTACTTTCACATACATATTTGAGATATCCCAAAATAAAATTTTAAAACGTTTAAAAATTTACGTTCAATATTATTGTTTGGCAAAGTAAAAGTTCTGGCAAAAGTGTCTAACTTAATAGATGTGACATAGAAGAAATTTAAAAATAACTTACCACTCAGATTTCAAAGTGAAGTTTGTTTCCAAGTGTGTTTCCCTTCCAGGATCCCACTGACACATCATTTTCTTCCCCTCATTCACAATGCAACTTAAATTTTTAGGTTTTTCTGGAGGAACTAAAATGAAATAATTAGCTATTTTCAAAAACCTTTATATTCACAAATATTATCCAATTTATATATGACCTAAAACACCTAAATTAAATAGAAAAAAAAAACCCAAAACAAAACTATATCCAATAAAAGACTTGTGACTAAAAAGTTGATTTCTATTCAAACTCCTAAACTGCTTTTCAGGCTGTAATATATATTTTCTATCGTAATTGTTATTGCTAGTTTGTTTCACATTAACTTGCTACATAAAAGTCAACTTTCATTTATAACTAGATGAAAATATCAACAATTTCTCCATTAGGTATATTTTAAAAACCTATATTAGAAGAAGCAATTAAACAGATTAAAAAATGATTCATTTATATGCTACTTTCCCAAACTATTTTTTTGAGGCAGGGTCTCACTGTGCAGTTCAGGTTGGCTCTGAACTCACTATGTAGCCCAGGCTGGCCCTGAACTTGAGGCGATCCTCCTGCCTCAGCCTCTTGAGTGTTGGGATTACAGGTCCAAACTCTTCTGGAAGAAAAGCAAATGCTGAAATCATAAAGTTTGGGTGATGCACAAATTTAAAAACCCACATTAGGACTATAGTTTATATTCTTTACTATGACCTTTCAGAAGGACTTTAATACTGATTCATCTTCTCCAGGTAGCTACTTAGTGTGTGCATCTTCTTAGCAATTAAGAGGTACTAGATATATTCAGAGATTTCAAATCAATATATTTGGGGGGCTCACGTCAAAATACTTTTCAGGAAAACTGACAAATGCTTGACTTTCAGGAAAGAGATAAAAACTGTGTTAATCTTCAGGATTTCTGTACATTAATAATGCAAATGTAGGTCCTACCTCTAAGCTTACGTTTTAAAAAATATGTCTAAAAGTCACTGAGCCCAGTGATTACTGCCTTTCACGCAGGCTAGCAGACACGCTTAGAAATGTACTTCAACAGTCATGACAAACCCTGATATAAGATAAAAACAAAACTTACAGCCTACTCGCATTTTGACTCCATAGACATTCATCTCAATCTGTCCGAATGCAAGAATGTTGCATATAAGTTGAACATTTGATAAACTTTTATTTGTAAAGGTGACACTGGATGTTGTTGTGTTTATGACGGTATACTGCTCCTCAGGAATAAGAACACGGTTTGCTTTCCAGATAATGTGAGAAGCATTTACTTCATAAATACTCATACATTTTTCCTTTAACACACAGAATGCAGTGAAATTAGAACCACTTCGGATAACTGGAGATTCAGGGCTGATAACACCGCACGTATCCACAAGTTCACCTGCAAAGGAACATTTTTGAAAATATAAAAACAGACTGAGGTAGGTATGTACTATAACCCACTGGTAGACTGTTGGCCTAGCACATGGTGAGTCCCTGAGTTTGAACCCTAGGACCCCCCCTCCCAACAAAAGGACTGAATTTTTCTAGTACTATCAATTATTATTATTATTACTATTATTATTATTTTGGAGATAGGATCTTACGATATAGTTTGGGCTAGTCTCGAACTTATTATGTAGCCCAAGCTGGCCTCAAATTGATCCTGCCTCAGTCTCTTGAATGCTGGGATTACAGGAGTGTGCCACCACATCCAGTTTCTTTTGTGTTTCTTGCCTGGTTTTGGTATGAAGGTAATGTTGGCCCCACTCCATAGGTATTTTAAAGTAAATATTTCTAAAACTATATGCATTACAGTCTCTTTCAAATATACTACTTCTTATTCTTATTTCTCTACCTCTGCTAAAAGCACCACTCCCAATCTAGGTATCCAGACCAGATACCTTGTAGTCACCTCCAGTCTCTAGTTAGGGTCCTCTAACCTCGAAGTTAACAATAATGCTGCACTAGCTAGAGCCCCATACATCGCATTTCCACAATTAAACCATACACGTTTCTGACTTCTTCCTCTACCATTCCTACTCCTCCTCATCCCCTCTAAAGTTGAAACTGGGAGTGGCACAAGATGAACAGTATGTCCCCCACTAGCTGTAAACTCAGTACATTCTGGTGCCTCAGTAGACTCAACAATTTTTTCACTACATCTTGCAGAAGTATCATCCATTTTAGGTTCTATATTCTTAGCATGTTTATCAACCTCTTGTCATCAACAATGCTTGGAATGCTGAAACTTGGGCCATCATATTTTCTTTGTTGGACCTCCATCCAGTTTACCCTACTACACAACTGTTACCACAGTTATGGTTCTAAAATGATTATGTCATTTACTAGCTATATATTACTATCAAGATTAAAGTCCCAACTATTTGGCATGACTTTATTCTCTTTCTCTAGCCTCAGTGTCCACATATTTAAGATAGATTTCCCCAATCAATGCCACCAGTCAATGGGTTCTTGAGTTGTTATCCACTCTGTATGGGTTTCAGTTTTCTCATATGGAAAATAACGTTAATAATAGCTATCTTGAAGGTTTTTTTTGAGATTAAAAGTTAGTTGTGTAAAACACAAGGTACAATGCCTAGTATTCAGTAAGTCTCCAATAAATGGTAGTCACACTGATAGGGTCTAGAAGGTCTTATTAGAGGTGTTATGGCATTATATCTAGGTGTCCCCCAAATAGTCACATTGGTAGGGTATAGAAGATTCTATTAGAGATATAATGCCTTACATCTAGATGTCCCCCCAAGGCCTCATACACTCATAGGTGGGGCTTTGGGGAAGTAATTAGATCATGGGTGTGTGATACTGGATTAGTCCGCTCATTAGTTTAGTATAGTTCTGGGTGTCTATGATAGATTTACTGAAGAAAGAAGACCTACCCTGGGTATAGGTGTCATCAACCAATAGGTTTGTAGCCTGGATAGAATAAAAAAGGGATAGAAGGAAGACTTACTGCTTTCTGCCTGCCCTGTCATGGACTGTTTCTCCTGTGCCATGTCCTTCTGCCATGCCGCCCTGCCTTGGAGCCCGACTATGGACTAAAACCTCTATATACTGTGAGCTAAAATAGACCTTTCCCCCTTTAACCTGAAGGTACTAGGTATTTTGTTTCAGCAACGAGAAAAGTAACTAAGACAAGAGGTTATTGGCTCTAGCAATTAATGGTAAAAGGCATCATGGATTATGGAACTGAGAAAAACCTGGGAAGTCATTTACTTCAACTTTTTATATTACAGATAAACTGGGCATGGTGTTGTAGGCCTGTAATCTCAGAACTGGGAGGATGAGGGAGGAGGACTGCTAGGAGTTCAAGGCCAGCCTAGGCTACATAGTGAGTTCAAGGCCAGCCTAGGCTACACAGTGAGTTCAAGGCCAGCCTGGGCTACACAGTGAGTTCAAGGCCAGCCTGAATTACAGAGCAAGACCCTGTCTCTAAAAAACAAAATTACTGATAAAGAAAGTTCTAGCATAAGAGTCAATGTCAATTATCAGCTAGACACCACAAAGGATAAAACTACCTTGAAAAGTTAAACAATTACTGTATTTTCCTATTCTATATCTTTCAAAGTTAGCCAGAAGAATTAAAAGTCCTTGAGGTCTTGAGGTTAACATTGTACAGTACTGCCAAATTAAATCCTGGGACTTGTCATATGTCCTATTAGGATCAGAGTTGGAATGTGTATTCCTTTGTTTCAAAATTTAAAATGTGCACAAGGCCGGGGATTTAGCTCAGTGGCATGGTGCCTGCCTTGCAAGCGCAAGATCCTAAATTCAATCCCCAGTACCAAAAAAAAAAAAAATTTAAATGTGACCTATTTATATCACCTTGCCATTATTTGTATGTGTCTACTATAAGTCTTACTGCATATATTACTTTCAATTTCCAAAAGTATGGAACTTCATCTTGTGGAGGATCTCTACTGAGTTACCCTCTGACAATAGGCCAATCATACAACTCCCCAGACTTCACTTTATTCCTTGGCAAAATCATTCCTGCTTTACTTTTTGTAAAGTAAAAAACATAAGATATAATCAGAGACTCATATTGTTAATTTTAAATCACACAGAATAAAAGAAATACTAGAAGTGGGCAAATATTCCAGTTTTCAAAGAGAAACAGGCTCATTAATTGCATCCCATGCCAAATTGTTCCCATTTTTATAGCTCTACCCAGATGACTAAATTACACGCAGTGTTTTAAGAAAAGTATTTAATAAATTTATTTTGAATATTCATGTGGACAAAAAAGAGGTGCAGATTAGGATACAGTATAATAGATATTAGAATGAACATTATGAAATTTCTGATATTTGGCTATTTTTCATAGATTTAGTTCAAATATGAACAGACTTGCTGCAGCACTAGGTTGTAATGAACAAGGTAAAATGTGGTAACAAAAAACTTTTCAATTAAAAGTGTTGCCTTTTCCAGCAAAAACAAAGCAAAACAACAAAAAAGAATGATTAGAGTAACTAGCTAAATTTAGTTTGGGTAAAAGGGCCTAAGATAAACATAGGAAAACAGTCCTTTGATACTTGGAAAGCTGACTAGTGAGAAGATAAAATAGGCCTACTCTAGAATTAAATGGGGAAAACTACAAGGAGAAAATTTGGGTTCAAGAATAAGGAAGGATAGCCAGGTATGGTAGCCCATGCCTATAATCCCAGCACTTTGGGAGACTGAGGTAGGAGGATCCCAAATTTGAGCCCAGCCCGGGCAATGTGGTAGCTTAGCTAGCCCCAGTCTCAAAACTTAAAAAAAGGATGAGAATGTAGCTCAGAATGAAGGCCGAAGGTTCAATCCCCAGTACTGAGGGGGAAAAAAAAAGAGGTTATTTAAGGGTGCAGCTCAGTGGTAAAGTGCATGATTGACTCTGGGTTCAGTTCCAAGTACAAAAAAAAAAAAAAAAGAAAAAGAAAGAAAAGATCTTTCTAAATAGTAAATTATTTCAATATAAAATTTCTGGGCTGGGGATTTAGTTCAGTGGTTCTGCCGCCTGCCTTACAAGCACAAGGACCTGAGTTCGATCCCCAGTACCAAAAAAAAAACAAAACACCACCACCAAAAAAAAAACCCCAAAAAATTTCTGTCACTTGAATGTTCAGAAAGAAACTGTGGTTCTAGTTCTGGAGAGGGGATGTTTAAAGCTGTGCTTTTCAAATTAACTGTGATGGAACAGCAGGGTTTTTATCCCTTGACTCTGTCATGGATTTATACACTTCTGTTTTCTAAATCCACTGATCATATTTTTGGATGTCATGGTTATGTCAAATTGTTGAGAATTTCTAAATGTGTATTTTCAACTTTGGCATTTATCTCACTGTGGGTCAGTAACTACCACATGGGCATCTACAGTTTGCATAGTATTTCTTAGTTATCTCTTTATTCTGGTAACACAACCACACTGCTCAGTGATACTTTTAGCAATCAGGAGGAAAATACTAAGAGTTATCAGATTTTCTCCTAGTCCTTTATTAAAAAAACCCACTTTCCCCCCGCCTCACCTTAATGTTACTGTAGTATAAACAGAATTTAGTCACTGACTCAGACATCAAATTATATTAAAAAAACAAGAGTATTTTTATTTATTAAAATAATTTTAAATCAATTTTATTCTCTCAATTATGATACTAGAAAAAAATATAAGCATAATCATATAAAAACATAAGCTTAATATATAAGTATATATATATTTGCAGAGTTGGAAGAAAGGGTATTCTGTGAGCCTTACCCATACTTTCAGTGGTGAGGAAAACAACCAGAGCTTGCACGAGCCAAATCTGCAGCGACAACATTTTGAATAGATATTTCTGTAACAGACACATGTAATATTATTTCTAATATTTTTCTCTTACATACACATAACCTAAAACAATCTTTTGTTTCTATTGTATAGCTGTTTTCTAAATGGTGGTGAAATTCATACAAGAATGCAGAAAATGAGTTTTCAGAATACTGTGTTATTCCCACTAAATTTTATGGTTATTTGAAACTTCTAGAAAACATAATTTATACTTTAAACTTAATTTTAAAAAATCTTTATTATGTTAAGTCTACACATTAGTAAATAATTATGAGATTGAGAACTTCAGACAGACAAATTTCTGCCTGGCAAAATCCACTGCAAGTAACCTCAGAATACACTTGACAAATATGTTTGTAACTCACAGCATTACCAAAAATATGCCCTAATATATGAAGAGTGCCTACAATTTACTAAAAAATTCAGACACCTAGTAGAAAACCAGGCAAAAAGATTTGAGTAGCAGTTTATAGAAAACGAAACACAAGTAACTAAAATGTATAAAAAAGACTTTCAAACTCACTCAAAATGAGATGTATGTTATAAAAAAATCCAGATAGGAATTAAAAATGATACAGACACTCCAGAAAACAATCTGGGAGTTCTGTACCAAGTTAAAAGCAGACCACAAAACTCCACATTTCTACTCCTAAGAATGTACTCAGGAAAAACAGAAATATATGTTCATATAAGGATACACACTGAAATGCTCATAGCAGCTTTATTCATAATAATCTCACACTAGAAATAATCCAAATGTCCATTAGTTGGTGAAAGGATAAATATCAAAACCACAGCATATCCATATAGTAGAACAGCAGTCAGAATAAATAGGAATGAATCACTAATACTGTACATGTAACTATGAATGAATCTCAAAAGCATTAAGAAGCCAGACACAACAAGCTATGTATTGTATATTCTATTTTACAGGAAATTCTAGAAATGGCAAAGTGAAGGTGACAGAAAGCAGATCATGGGTTCCCTAGAGCTGAGGCAGATAAGGGGCACAAAGGAACTTTTTAGAGAGATGGAAATATTCTCACCTGATAGTGATGATGAGTATAAACTCTATACATTTATCAATATTCATTGAATTGTGTCAAGAATAGCAAAGGCAGATGTGTGTTGGGGGCACATGCCTGTAATCCTAGTACTTGAGAGGCTGAAGGGGGGAGAATTACCACGGGTTTGAGATCAGCCTGGGTTACACTGTGAATTCAATGCTGGCCTGAACTACATAGCAAGATCCTGTCTCAAAAAACAAACAAACAACACAACACAACAACAACAAAAATAATAGCAAAATTTCTGATTTGAGATTTTACCCTATTCAAGCTAACAAGTTAACATGCCACATTTCATGGATACTGACAAAACATGAGAATTTTGAGTCAAAGACAAAAGACTATTACTCATTTTTGTTTGTTTGTTTGTTTTTGGTACCAGAGATCAAACTTGGGACCTTGCGCTTGCAAAGCAGGTGGCAGAACCACTGAGCTAAATCCCCGGCCCAAAGGACTATTGCTCTTAACAACAGCAGCAAAGCATCAGCACTTTTTGTGCCAACTATACTATGAAGAGTCAGATGACTGAGCTTAAGAAGCCTGAACCTATAAAAATGAGCAGGAAGAATTCTTGCCCTTTACTTTGGTAGAAGGCGTTATCTTGATCTTTCAAGGCTACAAGCAAATGTGTCCTTTGCTATCTAAGGAGATACCACTTCTATCTTCCATCACCCTTGAAAAGATGGTTCAGAGAAAAGGCAGTCAGGACTTTTGGTCATAAGACATGCTGAAATGTAAGAGACCCATGGGTTTCCTATCAGACTGAACACTAACAAGTAAATTTTAGTATTTATAACTCAGACCTAAATTATAATAAAACAAAAGTTGCACAGACGAGGTGAACAGCCAAACGAAATTAGTGCTTAACTTTTCTAAAAGATACATACAATAACATTTCCTAAAAGCTAGATATGTAGCTCAACAGTAAAGCGCATGATTAGCATGCATGCAGGCCCAAATTCAAACCTCAGCACGAAAACTAAAAAGCTGAAAAAGAGAAACAGCCAAATATTCATAAACACTAGAACAGACAAACTGTGGCATATTCCAATAACTGAGTTACAGCAATGAAAAAGAACTTACTAAGTATATGCAACATGAATGAACATCCCACAGTAACACAGAAGAAACCAGACATATAAAAGTACATTCTGCATGATTTCCTTTATATGAAGTGCATAAATAAGCAAACAACTTTTGGAGAAAGAGGTCAGAATAGTAGTTTTCTTTTTTGGAGGGAAGAGGACAAAAGGGAACATTCCGGGTCCTGGGCACGTTCTATATTTTGATGTGGACAATGGTAAAAACTCACTGAGCTATAAACACTGAGGAGTTCTGGACTTTAAAGTATGCAAGATATAATTAATAAAAAAGTGAAAAAAAAAAGAAAACCAAATCAAAACTACCCTGATATACTTATCTATGTAGTGTTGGCAAAAATATAAAACCTAGAAAGTTATCAGTGAGACTAAGCAAAAAAGATACTGTTACACATTCATAGGTTACAGTCTATACTGAACAAGTTTCCTAATAAATTCTACACTCAAAACTATATAGTTTGTAAATCAGACCTCCTTTTAAAAAGAAAACAAAACACCTACCCAACATATGTAGTCATAAGGTGTACTACAATATCAGTAAAAACTAAAAGACATTTGAACCTAATCATTCTACTTCTAGTTGTTTTATCTTAATAGATAGGAGCAAAATAACACATGTACAAAGTTTTTCACTGTAGCATTGTTCATAATAGCAAAAAATTGAAATAATCTAAATGTTTCTGATAGGGTACTACCACTGGTTAAAATTACAGTATACCCCCAACATAGCATACACATAACAATAAAAACTGGACAACAGTAAGTGAGGGATGAGAGCAGGAGGGATATTATCTACCATATACTCTTTTTTTTTTTCTTAAATTCTTTTATTGGTACATTTTAGGTATACAACACAATTACATTTCTCATTGGGAACTTGTACCTTTACATGATGCATCTTGGTTCTTATTTTTTCCCCATTCCTAGCCCACCCTTCCCTATTTACAAAGACTGTATTTCCATTTTTTCCATTTCTCATCATTTTTTCCTTTCCCTTCTTTCCTTTCCCCTGCCCCTCCCACTACCGCTACCCCTTTGGACCTTTTCTTCCTATTTTGCATTATCGATTATTCATTCTAATCATTGGTACAATTTAGGTATACAATATAATGACATTCATCATTGGAAATTTGCACCTTTACATAATCTCTCTTGGTTCTTATTTTTCACCCTTGCCCAGCCCTCCCTTCAACCCCTCCATTCCTCCCTATTTACAAAGATTTTGTTCCTATTTTTCCATTTTCTCATATTAATTCCATACCCTTCTTTCCTTTCCCCTACCCCTCCCTCTTCCTTCCCCTTTGCCCCTTTTCTTCCTATTTCACATTACCTGTTATATATTTTAGTCCTTATTTACACTTTCAGTTTCTCACACTAGAGAAACTATTCGGTATTTATACATGTGTGTCCTATTTATTTCACTTAAGAGTATCGCCTCAATGTGCATCCATTTAGCTATAAATGTCTCTAATGTCTCATTTTTTAATGGCTGAGTAGTACTCCAATTTATAAAAAACCCCCACATTTTCTTTATCCAGTCTCCAGTTGATAGGCATTTGGGCTATTTCAAAGTTTTAGCTATCACAAACTGTGCTGCTATGAACATGGGTGCACACATATCACTGTGGTATGATTCTTTTAATTCTTTGGGGAAGATCCCCAGCAGTGGAATAGTGGGGTCAAATGGGACTTCCAGTCCTAGTTCTTTGAATCTACCATGTACTCTTAGCATCTGTCCACTGGGGTATCAATGTGACTTTAGTATTTATGCAAAAAAATATACATTTTAGGGCTGGGGATTTAGCTCAGTGGTTCCACCTCCTGCCTTGCAAGCATAAGTTCCCAAGTTCGATCCCCAGTACCAAAAAAAAAAAAAACATTTTAAATTTAAAAATACTTAATGTGGCCAGGTGCAGTGGTATGCATTTGTAATCCTACCTACTTGGAAAGCTGAGGCAGGAGGATCACAAGTTCAAGGCTAGCCTGGGCAATATAGCAAGATCCCATATCAAAATAAGATTGAAAAAAAAGGGGGGGGGATGTGGCCGAGTGGACCACATGTGGCATGACTAATAAGCCCTTGGGTTCAATATTCAGACCACACACAAAGGAACAAACATCAGAAAAAATACAATGTGTAAGGATTTTCCTAAATAAAATTTGTAGATTGGTGCTTTGTTAAATATATATCCTAACTTGACTTTATGCACTTTCTAATCTGTAGCAGTCATTCTGTACAAAATTATTTGATAATGAGCTGTTAAGACTGCATTGGGAGTAGGTACATAAGAGATCTAGTTTACAGGAATCATTTTCTTCCACGTATTTCATTCCTTACTTCCCAACTTTGGCCTCCTATAGGGTAGAGGATGTAGTTCATTGATAGAACACTTGCTGACATGCATGTGTGCATGCACAAGGTCCTGGGTTTGACTGCCAACACAGTCAAAACACAAAACACAAACAACACTGAAAGAGCAAACTGCCCCACACTAGAAAAATCTACCACTGTCTAACTGCTCATCAAAACAAAGAAAATACAGTATCTGAGAACACTGGTACAGTATGTCATGGTTTCCTGAACATTTACCACGGACCTCCACTCACATCAGAGGTTTCTCTACAGTTCAAGAAAACTGGCAGTTTTTCTACTGCTGTGCTCCCCCTCCCATCCCTTGGGACTGAAACCAAGACCTTCACACTGCGCTGTATCCTCAGCCCTTTTTTATTTTTATCACTAAGTACCTAGCTTGCTTAGTCTGGACTTGCTCTTGTGGTCCTCCTGCCTCATCTTCCCAGAGTGCTGGAATTTTAGGCATTTGCCACCAGGCCTGGCTGCT